TGATGCTAGGTCAGGTGAAGGGGGTCCAGGGTTTTGGAGATGTAAGACATTCTCTTAAACAGTAAGGAACATAAAGACTGAGGCTCCCGCCATCACTCTGCACCGACTTGCTCCCAGAGACCTTGACGTGGAACACTTGACCCCAGTGTGGTCAGAAAAAGCAGCTGGCCCCGGTGGGGAGGGATGGAAGGCAGGGGCACTGAGCGTGCTCAGACGTCAAAGGGGGAAGCCACTCTGGGACTCAGCACTGGCTGGAGCCGAGAATGCAGAACCCCAACAAACAGCCTCCCACCTCGCCTCCCCAGTGGGACTTTTTAAGGATGCAGCAGCGGGGGCAGGGGATCATTTGCAAACAGGATGCTGTGCACACGCCATGTAACCCAACACACACAGAACCTAATGACCCGTATCTGTCACTGTGGTGGACAAACTTAGCTGGTGTAAGTGCCAGAGCAGAGGGAGGGGAAAAGAATGTCCTAGAACTTCCCCCTCCCAGAGCCCCAGTTCTCAAGGCTCAGACTCCGGGGGGTGTCGTGGATGAAGGTGAGCTGGAAGGAGCCCCCAGAAGTCATCTTGGCCATCACTGCGCTTTCCAAATGGCTGGGGGGAGGCAGGTCAGCAAAGCAGGTAGGGACGAGGCTGTCACAGAACAGGAGAAGCGGCGGAGAGGACGAAGCGTATCCTGGAGAGACCCTGAATGCAAAAGACATGCACTTCGGAGCAACACACAAAGTGCCCAGACCTTGACAGGCATGGGTCGGGGCCTCTGAGATCAGATGTTTACAGAGGGACAGCTGAGGGCCCCGCCCAGATCCCGGGCCCATAACCTCCACCATGTGGGCGCCTGGCTCTGTATCCCCGTCCCATCTTCCCAGAGAGCGTAGCTGGAACCCACCACACAGACACCGAAACAGCTGAGGGCACTCAGCTCCAGGGCTGGGGCAGCCTGACTTCTACTTGTCAAGGGGAATTGAGAGCAGATGGTGTCGCGCACGTAGACACACACGGACACACAGACCGTTCTGGCGAGCCCGCCCGCGTGGGCCTCCTGCCCTGGTCTCGCAGCCCAGGGGCTCCGCATCCAGCCCGTGTTCTCTTCTCTGCACTGTCCCCCTGGGCCTCACTGATCAATGCCGCAGCTCCCTGGCTGGTCCTGTGAAGTCCTAGCTCAGGGATCCCCCACCCTGCCCGAGCAAACGGGCACGGGCATGGGCTGCGGGGAAGCCGCCGGGCTCAGTCGTGCAGTGCTCCCAGGCCGGCCGGGGTCGGTACCCGCTGATGGTGAGCCTCTGGCCTCCTGAGCTGGCAGAGGGCAGAGCAGGGGAGGAGAGGTGGCGTGGGAGCTGAGGCAGCTAAGTGCTGTCCCCTTGTCCAGTGGTCACAGCCTGGAGTGGGGAAAGAAGGGAGAGAGTGGCAAGAGGTCACATGGATGAGACAGTGCCATCTTTGTGAATCAGTGCCCTCTCGGAAGGCAGGAGGCTTGAGATGAACTGCTCCTGTCCTCTGCAAGAAAAGGCAGAGGTCCTACTACGTGTCAGGCTCCGTGCCAAGTGACGCACATACCTGACCTCATTACACCCTTTATACAGATGAGAAAACTGAGGCTCAGAGAGGGTAAGTGCTTTGCCCAGCGGTGCACAGCCGGGAAGCAGCAGGCTCTTCTCACTGGCGTATGTAGCCTCTGGACTAGAGGTGGTCACCCAGGTGTGGGCTGGGTTGAGGCCATGTGTTGCTGGAACATCAGCCCGCATACCATGTGGAGTTGCTGAGAATGTTTGGTGAGGGATGGAGATTCAGGAAGAGGAGGTGAGACCAGACCCACACCAGAGACTCCAGTTATGAGCAGAGGCTTTGCTGACTACCGTTGAGCCAGGATCTTGACTGTCAGGGGCAGAAGTTTGTGTCCACTCTCCCAGGACGATTTTGGATACAGACCCAGAAGGTGCACAGGTAATCTGTGCCTAGAAGGTGGCAGAGTGGAAGGGTCAGGATCATGGATTTAGGGTCCAGACCAACCTGGGTTCCAATACTGCTTCTTACTAGCTGTGTGACCTGTGAGTAGGCACCTAACCTCTCTGTGCCTTGGTTTTCTCATAAGTAAAACAGAGACAGTACCTCCTTGAGGGGCACCAGACTACCTCCTAGGAGGCTCTGAGGATGCAGTGAGATAATTCAGACAGAATGCTTGATATAGCACCTATCACACATGCGCTTAATAAGTGGTACCCAGATGATGGCGATCTTGTTGGTGGTTGTCATGGTGATCTCAACCAGCGCTGTGCAACACATATACAATGCAACACAACAGAATTGGAACCAGGGACTCAAACGGACGCTTACACACCAATGTTCACAACAGCATTATTCACAATAGCCAAAAGGTACAAACAGACCAAATGACTTTCTAATATAAGCCACAATGTGAATGAACCTTGAAAACACCATGCTGAGTAAAAGAAACCAGACAAAAGGACAATATTGTATTCCACTTGTACGCAATATCCAGAGCAGGCAAATTCATGGAGAATGTAAATGAGAGTTTAGGGGTTAGGGGGAGGCAGGATGAGGGAATGATTGTTTAAGGGTTAGAGTTTCTGTTCGGAGCGAAATAGTACTGATGGGTGTACAACACTGCGAATGAAACTGATATCACTGAACTGTATACCTAAAATGGCAAATTTTGTTTCATATATATATATACATATTCTCTCTCTCTCTATATATATATGAATATATATATATTCTACCACAATTTAAAAAATAATATAATATACCCAAACCCACTGGGTTGAATATTTTAACTGGGAGAAATACATGCTATGTGAACCATACCTCAACAAAACTGTTTTTTTTTTTTAAGAAATAACTGTGCAGGTCACATAATTGTAAATTTTCTAGTCGTACTTTAAAAAGTAAAAAAAGGGTGAAATTAATCTTAATAGCATATTTTACTTAACCCATTATATCTCAAACATTACAATTTCAACATGTGACCAATTCTGCATATGTTATGTAACAAAGTACGTTCTTTACTTTCTCCTATGTCTTCAAAAATTGGGGTCGGTTTTACCCTCAGAGTACACTCCATCAAAACTCAACCCATTTTGAGGGTTCAACAGCCACATGTAGTGAGTGGCTGTTATTGGACAGCACAGGTCCAAAGGGTGGTCCACAGACCAGTAGCTTCAACATCACCTTGGAGTTTGTTGGAAATGCGAGATCTTGGGCCCCACCCCGGATGTACAGAATGAGAATCTGCATTTTAACAAAGTCCCAGGTGATACGAGTGCAAACTAAATTTTGAGATGCCCTGCTCTGGAACACAGGCTTGCCCTGGTCATGCCTCCAGCTCACCATGTACTAAACTATGCTGGGTTTCTAGAAACATCAGCTCCTCTGATGTGAGCCACTGAGGACACAACCCAAAGACCCCAGAGGTGACTTCTGAGTTAGCTGCTCATCTCCTTGGAACACGCCAGCTGCGGCTGAGACCTCTTGGTCGATGCCCTCTGCAGATTACAAAGCCTAGACAGGACCCAGACCCTGGGCCCACTTTAACCAAGCCCTCTCCCAATCCACTGCTAACCCCGGTGGGTTCTGGAAGAACCACACCATGAGAGTGACCATCTCAAAGCTGGATAAGCATGACCGAGAAATCTACAGAGGATGATGTTGTGGGGAGACCTAACTCTGAACTCTGAATTGGAGCCTGACCTGTGTTCTTGGCTTTGTAACCAACACCCTGTGTGGATATCGGTGAGTTGCAGAATGTCCCTGGGCCACAGTTTCTCCATGTGTAAAAGGAGGTTGGATAAATCTGGAATGGCCAGGGAAGGCCATAGTGATTCTAAATAGCTGCTATTGAGGACTGAGTAATGTCAAATGTGCAGTAATAGATTAGTCATGCCTGCCACGGGTACAGGAATAGGGCACAGACACCACACACATTCATCATCCATGAAATAGGTACTTCCTAGGACTTTTCTACTTGGACGATGACTTCTGCTTCTTCAAGGCTTTAATTTGTTATATTCTTTCGTACTTATTTTCCCCGAAGTAGGGGTCATCATGTGGAAGAGAAAGCTTCCAGCTCCAGGCAATAAACTGAGGGTCCAAAGTGACAAAGTGGGAAGAGAGGGAGTTGGGAGTTGCCTTTGATCTCTGGAGCCCAAAACCAGCCCAGCTGCTCCACAAGGAAAAGCCCTCCAGTGTGTGTATCTCTGTGTGTGTGGGAATGTGTGTGCTTCACTGAATGTTCCTATGTATGCATGCACGTGTGTGTGCGTGCCTGGCTGTGTCTGTGTGAGTGTGCACAACTATGTATGTTTGGATCAACTGTTAGTGCAGCAGGGAGCGGGGACCCCTCAAGGAACCTCATCTGGGCCTCTCCTGCTCTCACCGTCTGGAGAGACCAGTCACCGAGGCTGCGACTCAGAGAGACACTACATGTATCATCTCAGATTAAGCTACTGAGCTCCAGCCAGAAACAAGGGGGAGCGGCCTCCTAATGAGGAAGCCAGAGAGACACTATAGGCAAGAAGAAGCTGAGAACCTTGCCTCCCCTTGTCTTCACACAACAGAGAATGCTGGAAGCCAAGAGCGGCCGTGATGGGGATAGGCTGCTGGCACAAGGGGGAGATTTTCTGAAAGCCAGGCCTCATGGAGGGGAATGTTGAACAGCTGACACATGGAGCTCAGTGGGTTCAGGGTAGTGCCTTGTCATGTGATGCTCAGACTCACTGGGGCATCAACCTTCATCGGGAAGAGAGAGGCAATGAGGTAGCCATGGCATCCACAGGGACCAAGGCCTTGCATGGCAGCTTCTAGAACCCAAATCCCAGAGGACAATGCCCTGAACAGAAACCCAGTGGGGAAGGGTGGGGGCTGGGGGAGGAAGGTGGGTACATGGAAAGTAGATGGTTGGTGGAGGAGGTGGGGAGTAAAAAGGTGACAAAGACCAGCGGACAAGGACAGTGAGGAGAGATGCTAAGGGGGGACACTTACTCTGCAGATTTCCAGAAATGTCCAGGGTGAGACAGGCGGCGGTTTCGCTTTGGCAGTTTCTCCAGCATGTCCATGAGCTTGGTGAAGGTCGGTCTCTCTTCTTGTTCAAAAGCCCAGCAGAAGAGAAGAATGTCCTAAAAGAAAGCAATATGTGGTGATTTAGCATAAATAGTAACTTCATGACTACTCCTTGGCACCTCGTTGGATCTGTTTGTCTACCTATTTGTTCCACTTTCAGATTCCTCCATCATTCATCCATCCACCCATCCATCTATCCATTTACCCCTCTATCCATCCACCCATCCATCTATCTATCCATCCATCACTCAGGCATCCATTTATCCATCTCAGTTCATGTGTTCATCCTTCATCTGTCATCCATCCATGCATCATCCACCTATCCATCCACCCTTTTCCTCTCTACTTTCTGAACCTATGTAGCAAACTAGGTAAGTCCTATTCTAGAAGGTCTGGGATACCCTGAAATCAATTATGCTCCCCAAGGAGTTTCTTGGCATTCTCCTCAAAAGAGAGGGAGAAAAGGGAATCCTGAGGCCACTATCCACATCCCAATACTATAAGCACCCCTCCAGAGTGGAAAATTACTCGTAATGGTCTCACCTGAGAGAGGAAATGGAAAGACAGGTAATCCTAAAAAACGCACCAGGTAATTATTCTTTCCCTGATTCTTCTCTCTTCTGATCAAAAGAGGATGCTTCCTGATGTGTTTTAGAGGATGAGTATTAATTTATACTGGGGTTTCTCTGTTTCTGTATATCTTGTTCTGAGTTGGAGAATGCCTTAATTTTATTTGAATCTACATAAAAATTTTAAGGCGTTAATTCTGGTGATATTTTAAAGTATATCTTTAAAAAAATAGCAGAGAAAGAGGGATTCACTGGTATTATTAGACTCAGCAATCCATTGCTAGGAAAAACCTAGCCAAGTATTACTGCACCCTGGTGGTAGGAAGCTGAATTGCAGGGCATAGTTCAAAAGCTTTGTCTTCTAAGCTCTAAACCGTTATTTGACAAGGTGGTGGGGATGCTTTTTCATCACCCTCTGGGAAAGGGTTTATAATCTTTTTTGTTTATTTGGGGGCAGTAATTAGGTTTGCTTGTTTACTTATTTACAATTTACTTTAATTTTTTAAACAGAAGTACTGGGGATTAAATCCAGGAACTCAGGCGTGCTAAGCATGGCACTCTACCCCTGAGCTATACCCTCCCCTCAGGGTTTGCAAGCTTAACACACAGGAAGAAGGAGGCCCAGAACTGCGTCTGCTTCTCCCCCTGTCCCCCAGACCTGGCACTATTAGCCTGGGACTTACCGAGATTTCTTTTCCCATGCCGATCTGGCTGAGGTTGGGTTTCATGCCTGTGCCCATTTGCCAAATTATTGCCTCTGCTGGTTGGGTCTTGAAAGGCCACTCCCTGGCATGGAGCTCATACCAGATTGTCCTGTTGGCAGACATTGTTACAGGGGTGTTGGTGTGATATGTCACTTGGAACTCTGCGTCCCCTCACCAACACAGGGGTGCCTAACCACTCTGGCTCCCTAGTTTTTTCCTTATAAGGCTGGTGTTTTGCTACCTAAGATGTACTTCTTGATGTCTTAGAAGTCATGCTTATCCCAGGATATCTTCTCCAGGGCCTGAATTAAAATGAATCAAAAGCTAGAACCTGACCCATTTAACATAATGTGGCTACATCTCTGAGACCATTTTGTCATTTTAGGAGACTACTTAAGGGGCAAATTAGGGACTACAGACAAAAATGTATTTACAAGCACCTTCTGCACACCGTTATATAGAACACTGGAAAAAAAGTAGTAGTCACAAGTTTCATAACCAGAATTTCATAACCAGAATCACATAGATTATGGTAAATCCATAAAATGAAATGCAACACTGTATTGTTATTAAAAACATTGCAAAGAAATTATGCTGACATAAAAGTGCTCAATATATAATTTTAAGTGAAAAAAGTAGATCACAAAACTGTGTATAAGATATGTTACACTTTTAAAAATGAGTAGGCAGGTACAGACAAGAGACTAAAGAGAAAACAGCAAAATGTTAACAACAGCTAACTCTTGGTGATAGAATAGGATAGAATTGTTTCTATTATGTTTGTGTGTAAATATGAACCCTCCTGTGAAACAGTGGAAAGCGGGGGGAAAAAAAAGATCTGAGAGTCAGACTATCTTGGGTTCAAGTCCCGATTCTATTCTATGCTAGTACTGCGTCACTGGGTAGGCTGCTTCCCTTCCGAGTCCAGGTTTCTTACCTGCCAAATGAGAATGATGATAAAATCGCAGGGGAAGAATGTTCATCTGGGAGGCTGAATGCCAGCATCACTTGATGCCGGAATTATTCCAGAGGGACTGACTGTGTTATCGTCTGTTTCATAAATCATGACATTGTCATGACTGAAGAAAGGATCGCTGTGGTGAACAATGCGCAGGGATGGACGGGGAGATGGGCTGGGCAGTGCTCAAGTGCTGTGGGAGGTGTGGGCAGCAGTGGGGACCGTGGCCAATGCCACGGGGGCGTTCACAGGGTGTTGGGGTGTCACTGAGCTGTCCCCTGGGGATAGGTCTCAGCTCACTGAGAAGATGCCCCAGCTCAGGGAATATCTGAAACAATCCTAGGAAACGATCTTTCCTCCAATTTAATTTATGTAAATTTGCCTTAAAGAACACAAAGCACTCAGTTATCCTTTTTACTGATAGGAGAACTGTATCGAATCAGTTATTTCTGGGGTTCCACCTCTCACTTAGCATCTTCTCTCCTCTGCCAACCTCATCCCTCTGGGAAGAGGAGGGCGGGTGATGCTCAGGTGCTGGGATGATTGCAGTTCTCATCGTAAACAGTAACACCTCTCAAGTTTTTAGTCTGTGCCCAACACTAGGCTAAGCCCTTAGCATTTACTATGATTATGGGTGTGTGTGTGTGTGTGTGTGTGTAGTATGCCTTTTTATTCTGATTTTTATTCTGATGCTTTGACATCTGGGGCCTTGCTGACCCTGGAGGGACTAGCCTATTCCTAGAGACAGTAAAGGACTGAGCTGTAAGTGTGCTTTTCATAGGCAAACAAACCAATCCAAAGTCCTCCACACCCCCGCCCCTCATCAGGCTCTCACACTCAGGGCCAGCATTCCCCTGCCCTACTCAGAATGGCCTCAATGCCCCAGACCCCACTGAAATTAGTTAAACTAACCAATCCCAATCCAGCTTCCCCTGCCTCGCCCATTCCTTCCTGAGGAAACCACAATAAAGGCTCTTGCCCACCATTTCTTCCTGCACCCTCTGTCTCCTGATGGACTCTGCCTCTTCCCTGCGTGGGCCCGCATGGTATGATGTGCCTCCTCCTTTTGGGAACTGTGAATGACAAACCATCTTTCCAGTGGCATTTGTCTCCTGATCTAGTGGCCTTGTCACACCTGAATAATAATAACACCGACATTTTAAAGCAAGGAGTGCTATTATCATCCCCATTTTACAGATGAGGAAACTGAGGCTCGGGAAGGTTCTGTATCTTATCCAGGGTCACGCGGCAAAATAAGAAGTTCAGCCAGAGTTGAATTCATTTGACTGCAGAACCACAGCACTGGCCATTACGCTGTATTCGGAAACTTACACTCCATCCTATTTAAGAGTCCTCTGTCATTGGGACACTGAACTATTTGGGAAGGCAACCCTCTGGTTGATGGTTGGGGCCTGGTGAAGGAGGCACAGACAGAGTCCAGGTACCGCTCATGTGGAAAGGGGAAGGGAGCCTATCAGGAGCTTGGCTCTGTGCTGGGTGCCTTATGGCATTTTCTCATTTAATCCTTAGAACACCTTAGGATAAAGGGACTTTATTATCTTTGCATTATGGCTGAGGGAAGTAGGGTTTGGAGTGGTGAAATGACTCTCAAGCCCCTGGGGGCTCTGTCATGAAAATCTCCCAACACTGGAGTCAGGATGTCCTAAGTCCGACTCCCAGCTCCACCTCTAATTACCAGAAGGCAAGACACGGAGCCACTCGGAACCTCAGTTTCCTCATCTGTCAACTGGGAACAATGGTATGTGCTTCAAAGGGTGCACATGAAGATTCCACGAGACAGCACCCAGAACAAGCTTAACTCGGTGCTCAATACACTTTTAAAGTCCCTGTCTGTTCTAAGTCCTGCCCGAGCATGATGTTCCCAAGCAACAAGATGCATCTAATTGGCAGGAAACCAAAAGCACCAGGTCCCTCGGAATTCAGCAGTGTCAGGAATAAAAACCTCATTAAAACTTACTTTGAAACCTAACTTTTAAGAGAAACTCGCTTGAAGGGGAAAAAAAAATTGCCAAAGATTAAAACTCCGGTGGAAAATCAATTACTCACTTTGGTACATTTTGTTAATTACGTTCTTTTTTCTCTTGCTAAATTGATACTAAAATATACCAACTTAATTATTGCAATTTGGTTTCAGATAACAATGTCTAACTAGATAAAGATTTGGGCATAAACCCATCAGGGCAAGTGACAGCCTCTAGAGGGGTCCAAGTGACAGATGGCAAGAATCCTGATGTGCCAGCAAACACCGCCCCCCACCTCCCATCCCAGATTTATAGAGAGGACGCAGTGGGGGTACTTTTCCATGGAAGATGGTCTCTGTAACATCTCTTGGCGGTGCTAAATCTAATTGCACACATCTGCCGGCCTCCAACTTTCCCAACGAGCTTCCCAGCGTTATCTCTGCCGGTCCTAGCAACCACGCCACAGAAAAGTAAGGCGAGGATTAGCATGGCCATGTCAGGGACAAGAACACAGAAGCCTTTGTAATGCACCTTCTCAGAGCACCCTGATGTGCATCGTAGGGTCTCTCCCTCCTCTGCACTTTCAGAGACATCTCATTCTTTCCCATGGCTGCAGTTACTACCTCTTTGCTGACAAGTCCCAAACTCTTCTTTCTCAAATTTAAGATGGCTAGATTCAGCTGTCTTCTGGTTGCTTCTGTGGGCTATCTCCAAGGTAGCGCCAACTCACTGTGCCCAAGTCTGCTCTCTTTGCCTTCCTGGTGTACCCCAAACCCTGCCCTGCCTCCAGGGTCTCTATTTTGGTGAATGACACCACTCTCCACACAGTTGCTTAAGGTCGGTGCTGGCACCATCCACACTGAAACCAATCAATCAAGCCCTATCACGTCTACCCCCAAAACGCTTCTTTGTATGTCCAGTCCCAGCTTTCACACTCACTAGCACTGATTCAATGGAGAACCTCAGCATCTCCCTCTGGACTGGTCACCCAGCCTCAATCTTGTCTTCCTTTCTGTTTTTGACATGGTAGAGTGATTGATTGACAAAAATGTGATTATGTCACTCTCCTGCTTAATAACCATCAATGGCTCCCTAGTGCCCTGAAGATGAAGACTCCTTAACTCAGCCTCTAAGTCCCTGCAGAGTGCCTGCTTTGCTCTCTAGTCTCTCATCTCACCACCCCAGCCTCATTTTTTCCTGATTCTCCTTTCCTCCTCACTCCTCACCTGTTCCTTCACTGTGGGCAACTTGGCATTTCTCACACATTCCTCCGCTGTGGGCACCTTGTTCTCTTTCACCCTTGTTCCCTTTCATGTGTTCCTTCTATCTGGAATACTTCACCTTACCCTCACCCGGACTACTTATATTCAATCTTTAATGTAGGCTTAGGAGTCACCTCCTCCAGGAATCCCTCTCTGATCTCCTGGCTGGATTTAGTTCTTCCTTTCTTCCCAGAGTCCTGTGTTTATCCTCAGCAAAGCATTTATCACAGTACTTTGTAAAAACTGTTTCCTTGTCTGTCTTCCACTTGATACAATAGGGACCTATGGGAGTTTTAAACAGTATGTCCACAAATTCTTTGATATTCTTTCTGGTAAAAAGTAGAGCTTTATTCCCCTCTCCTTGATTTAGTGACTTGCTTCTAACAAATAGAATACAGTGGTAGTGATGCTATATAATTTCTGGGAGTAGGTCACAAAGGCAACGTGGCTTCTGGCCGCCACGTTGTGAGGTCACTCAAGCAGCCTGTGGAAAGACCCGTGTGCTGAGGATCTCAGGCCCCGTGCCAACAGCCACGTGGGTGGCCCATCTTGGAAATGGATCCTCAGCCCGTCAAACCTTCAGATGAGACTGCAGCCCTGGCCAACATCTTGACTGTAACCTCCTGTGAGACCCTGAGCCAGCTCAGAACCACTCAGCTAGGCCACTCCCAAATTCCTGGCCACAGAAACTTGAGATAATAAATGTCATTTTAAGCCACTAAGTTTTTGGATAATTTGTTAATAGCAGGCACCCAGTAAATGGCTACTGCTTGCAGGAATGAATGAATGAATGAATGAATGAATGGGTAGGTAACTTATCAGGGTCTTTCTACTACAACTCACTCAGATCCCCTCAGTCTCACCCAGAAATTAAGCTACCTTTGCCCCTACAGACCACCTGTCTCTTCCAAAAGCACTGAAGAGACCCTAGGGAAGCACCCCTCTTCCTGGTGGGGGCTCTCAAAGGCCATGGTGGGCTACATACCCAAGTGCAAAGACGTCTGAGTGTTTGGAGAAGGGGAGCTTGTCCTCCTCTGTGTCGGGAGACAGCTGGCGGATGATCTCCGGGGCCAGGTGGCACAGCCAGCCGTTCTGGATACGCAGTTTGTCATCGCGCCTGGAGAAGCAGAGCACAAGGTGAGCCCCGTTTCACAGCCCAGGGAGGACCAGTCCCCCAGCACTGACCCCAAGTCCCTGGACCATCTCTGCTGGCTTTCTTGTGTTCCTCCATCTGGCACTGCCTGATCTTGTACTTGAGGCCAAAACCCAGTGGGAGGCGCAGGAAAGGGTGGTCTGGAGAGAGACGCTCAACATCCAGACCGTCATAAGGTCCCTTCGCCTCTGAAGTGGCCACGTTCTCTATCTTTATTCAACAAATACAGTGGATTCTCATCACCCGCGGTGCTCATGTTCTATAAAGCCTCCACAAACACTGACTTAGTGACTACTGAGTTATTGCTCTTGGGGGAAATATTTATACACACACACATGCATGCATGTATCTTCATAAAATATAATCTTGAATCCTAACAACAACTTATCCTATTCTATTTTATTTTACATAAGAGAAACCGAGGCTCAGAAGTATGAAGTGACTTGCCCCGAGGCTGCCCCACTACCTGGGGGCAGAATTGTAAAACCCATCCAACTGGCCCCAGAGCTGGAGCTTCTGGCCCTGCGCTCCCCTGGACCACCCCCTCCCATCCCCATCCCCATCCCCTGGTCCTCTCTGAGTGAGAGCGGAAACTGAAGTAAAATGCGAGACACCGGGTCAGGCAGGGGCCACCTTTCTGGAGAGGTACCCCATTAGTTATAAGAGGCATGATTAGCGAAAACAGGCTGGTTTATGGTATGTGCGTGTGTGTGTGTGTGTGTGCGTGTGTGTGCGTGTGCACACGCTCCAAATTAAAAGTCACAAAGGGGAGACCTTCTGAATCCTGGGTTGTTCATCTGGGATCAAGCTGTTTTTCACATGGTCCACTCAGGCATCTCGCTCTAGGGTGAGCAGTGGCCGAGGAGTAATTAGTTAACAGTGGCTAATGGCCCTCCTGGGTGACACTCCGGAGGTGTATGCAAATTAATCCTAATTACAACAACTCCACGGCCTTCGTGGTCTTTGATGTGCTCCAGGCGCTGTGCTGGATGCTCAGGGGGTGTTGTTCTATTGTCTCCTAGCAAGGACTCTCCATTGTTTTTCTGGCAGGAAACTGAAGGCACAGTTAATAAAGGGCAGAGCCAAGTTGGGGTCCCGGGTGGGTCTGACTTTAAATCCCTTGCTTCCAACGATAATCCTGCTCTACTAAAATGAATGAACTCATAAGAAAGCTCTGAGGAATGGCCCTTGGGTGATCCCGACTTCCAGGTGAGTGCTTGGAGTAAGGAGAGAGCCCTCCAGCGAAAGTCAAGGGCCAGGTGTTACAGGGTTTAAGGATGCTCTGTGCCCACGCCAAGGTGCCATTTCCAAGACAGGCCCCACGGGCATCAGCAATGCATCACGGGCAGAGCAGCCTGGCTGCTCAGCTAAGCGACCTCAGACCCAACACAGAGTCTAGGTCACTAAAGCCATTTGGGTGACTTCCCATCCCCCGATCACCATCTGTCAGGAACCCCTCTGGGCCCTTCCACCGCCTCTCACCTGCCAGCCTGCAGCACCCCAGAAATGCTGAAGAGCCCGAAGTCCGTGATCACCACCTTGCCGTTGTCATAGAAGACGTTTTTCGACTTGAGGTCCTTGTGCAGGATTCCCTTGGCGTGGAGGTAGCCCATGCCCTGCAAGAAGCAAGGACACGGAGACTTGCCAGAGAAAACCCGTGCGCTCGCTGCCGCCCTGGCCATGGGTCCATGGGGCCACGCCTTGCCTTTCCACTGAGACCACACAGAACAGCTGCAGAGCCGGGACCCACACGCCCAGGCGTGTGGGTGGGGTGGAGAAGGCATGGAGAGTGGGAACAGGCCAGAGTCCCCAAGACACAGATCTGCCCCCACCCTCAGACCTCAGCAAAGTCATCTCCACCTAAGCTCTTCTGCTTCCTGGGGAAGAAACCAGGAAGACCTCCCCAGAGGGAAAAGGGTGGGGACAAACTGGAAAAGAGGTCCCCAGGGAAAGACAGCCCATCAACCATCTTCCCTGACGTCCTCTTTGCGAAGTAACTCCTCTGCAGAAAACTTGTTCCCTAGTTCGACCTAACCCACGGCACTGCCGAAAATCACCGTGTTCCTCAAGAGACGTATCATGATGTGATAACCAAGAACATGGACAAGGGGCTAGTGCAGGTCAAGCTCGAGGGTGAATGCCTGGATTGCTTTTTTCCTGCCTGAATGAGCAGTCACATTTTTCTTTCTTTTTGGAGCTCAGTCTTGACACTTCCAACGGGAAGTAAAAACCTGAATACGACTGACAAATGAGGCACACACCAGAAAACCCAGGATGCTCCCATTTGTTTTAATCCCAAACAACACCCAACAATTTGATGTATCCCCAGCGGCTGTGGAGACAGGTGCCTTATACTCAGGGAATTCAAGCATTTGCGGGGTGAGGGGTTCTCACAATGAGAAGTTCCCCTGGTCCCTGCACACGCCTGCTTATCATGACGATGGGGCACCAGATGGGAACCAGACACACTGGAAGACCATCCCTGATGGTTGCATCTTGGCAAAATTCTTACATACACACGGCCTGGTATTTTTCAGGTCGAGTCTAATTTGTCTGAAGCCCAGACTGCTGGTTTGAAGTCAGACCCTGAGGCTTGGGAGGGGGCTGGGTCTTTCGGAGGTTCAGGGGGGAGGTACCTTCACAATTTCTTGGGCAATCTGCCTCGTTTTGTTGACATCCAAGACGATCTTGGCATCCCTCACAACGGAATAGAGTGTCCGTCCCTTACAGAGGCTGGAAAGCAAAGGGACAAAGTGAGTTCTTGGCAGGTGTTGAGACGAGGGCCACCCACAACAGCTATTAAAAGTGACACACAAAAGAGCGGACATGTGTGGACATGCCACGTCTGTGCCCGAGAGATAATAAGCTTGGCTCTGGACCTCAGCTCTGGTTCTGGGATGCAGGTTCAGGAGCAAGTTCTCTGGGGTTCTTCAGGATCTTTTACCCACTCCCCCAGCATCCAAGGACACCTACAGGGTCCAGCCAAGTCCAGAAGCAGAGGTGCCTCGTTCTATCTATCCTAGGGTCTCACAGACAGAAATCTGCACGTAAGGCCAGCAACTTCTGGGGTCCTCAGACACCACTCAGACAGCACTCTGCCGGTGCCTCTGCCCAGCTGCTCCCCCTCGCCGGGAGACACGGGTGTGTGGGGACAGTGATGGAAGACCAGCAAGGCATAGCTGATGTGTGCTAAGGACCATCAGTGAATGATGCAGTCACGCCTTCAGACAGGGATGTGTAAACACCAGCAGTACCTCCCCAACCAGATGCCTGTCTAGATAGAGGGTTTTGCAAACTATTTCCAGCCTCACTGAGTTCATCTTAAGGACCAGTGGTTCAAGATGAATGACAAGATGAGAAAGGACATGATACAGTGACAGTAACACCTTCTCACTTAATTGCCGGCGTGTTCATCCGTCCTTTTCTTCCCCAGTGAGCCCGATCCCCGGCACACACACGCCAGACCCTCAATGAACAGTCACCGAATGGACGAATGAATGAGCGTGCCCAGCCCTTAGCACCATGCCTGGCTCACGGCGCCTAATGTTGGCTGGAAGAAGAAGGAATGACATCAGGAAAGTTTGTTTTCCATCTATGTCAAAATAATTGGTTGAATGTTTCTTTTAATCTGTAACTTGATTGCTAAAATGGTCTAAGCGTTGTATTCAGTCCTATGGTAGTTACTGAACCCTTGTCGTGGGCTGGAATTAGCTGAGATCGTGTGGTTACAGCCAGAACTTGGGTATCAGAGGGACCTGATGGAATCCCAGGTCCGCTCTCTACTTACTGTGTGTCTTTGGGTGGGTTACTTAACCTCTCTGGGCCTCAGCTTCCTCATCCATCAAACGGAACTAATGACACCTACCCAACAGAGTTAGTATGAGGACTGAGTGGGAGAAGGAGCTGGTGGGGAGTGTAGCACAGCGGTTAAAAGAACAGGGGCCTAGAGTCAGACTCCAGACTGGTTTGTCAGTCAGTGGCTGTGTGGCCCTGGGCAGGTGAGTTTACCTCTCAGAGCCTCAGTTTCATTATCTGTAAACCTTCCAAGGTTTTGCAGGAGAATCACAGGAAATCAGGTGTGTAAAGGTGGAGGCAAATCTCTGTGTAAGTAGTCATGAAATTCTGGCTGTTATGAGGGGGGTAAACGACCAATCAAATGGTGAACATGCACACATACCTGTGTGCAAACATACATAAACTATATATTTACACCCACATCACATCTGTCTGTCCATCTATTATCTATCCATCAATCCACCCACCCACCATGCTACCTATAATCACCCATGAACTTGGACTAAGATTCATTTCTTCACCTGCTCAGGGAGGCTGAGTCACCTGTCCCAGGTTGCCCAGTAAGTCAGCGGCGGGGGTTGGGGGCAGCCATGGTGACTCAAGGCTGTCCCGCCTTGCTGTCTTGAGCAGTGCCAGTGCGTTTGCTGTGGCTGCTGGAGGCGAGATGGGGGGCTGGGGAGCGGGCTGTGCAGCCAATTAGACCATAGTGACATTTAAATATTCAGGATGGCGGAGACAGTGGGTGGATTCCCCCCCACGGCTACTCCGTGCTTGAACAGCCACCTACACTCATTACGGGCCAGAGCCCAGAAGATTCTTTCCCACTGCAGACGGCAGAGCAGGCTCCAAGCCTCCCAGACTCTCAGGGTGACTGCGTAGAAGTCACAGCCCCCAAAAGTCCATCCCTGTCTCCTTTCTGTGCTCACCTCCTCCTTTCCATCAGCAGCTGCTAAATCTGGAGCCGCTGGATAAACACACACTGACTGGTGGGCTATCAATTGGCACGACCACTGCTTGGCCCCTCTATTAAAGTGAAATACACAAATAACCCATGACCAGCAATTCCTCCCCTAAGTTCATATCCAGTGGGCATGCATACGCATATTCACCTACGGACATGTACCAGAATGTACCAGAATATTCTAGAATGTTAACAGCAACTTATTCTTAATAGCCCCAAGCCTGGAACCCAAATGTTCATCAACAGAAAACTGCATAAATTATGATACAACTGTATAATAGGATACATTCATACCAGACTGTTAATAAGCAAACTATTGCTAACCACAAGAAACATGAAATTCATAAACAACATGTTGAGCAAAAGGAGCCACATAGGCACTGAATGACTCCATTTGCATAAAGTGCAAAAGCAGACAAAACTGGTCCATGTGCAAGAAGTCAGCGCAGTAGTGACCCTTGGGTGGCGGTCGGGAGGCTGGAGAGGTCATGAGGGGAGCTGGGGGCAGGTGATGTTCTGCGCTTTGATTTACGTGCTGTTATACGGATGTGCGTTTAGTGGAAATTCATCAGGCTGTGCTCTTGGGATCTGAACACTTTGGCAGGCGTGTTATCCTTCCAAAAATTTAGGAAAAAAATGACGAGGAAAGGATGAACAATTAACATATGGAGTTGAAATTAAAAATCTAAACCAATACTTTTACCACAGGACTCCATTTCTAAATGGTTCTCACAGTCCTGAGGGGCAGTGTCTGCAGGGGAGTGAGGGACTCCAGGCCTGGCTGTGCCCACCCAGGTGTTTATTGGAGCCTGAGTTCAAGGGCAGGTACAGGGCACAGGCTGAGCGAGCTCTGAGCAGGAGCAGGCATTAGGCAGGTATCCAGGGTGGCCGAGGCTCGGAGAGTCCAGGCAAGTCAGTCCAAGTATCCACGGCAACTGGTCCGAGCTTGGGATTTCTGTGGCTAACACCTGTGCCCTAAAGGCTGCTTGTGGGTGGGCGGTGGGGCAGGGAAGGGAGGAGAGGACGGAGGTTTACTGAGCATGCGCGGGACCTGCCTCCCCTCCAGGCATCCTCCCAGCATCCCCACAGGGTCCATGTTCTCATCCACCTCTAGCAGGTGAAGATACAGAGACCCAGAGGGGCAGAGACCTCCTTGTGGACGCATGGCCACAGGGCAGCCTGCTCATGATCTTTCCCGTCCACGGTGTGGAGGCCCAGTTATCAGACATGACGTTCGGGTCATGAAAGAGACATGCAGCCGAGTAAACCCGAATCCCGACTCTCCCATTTACTGCTTGTTGGGCAACCTCGGGAAGTGACTTCAAACCCAATTTCCTCATCTGTAAAATGGGGACAGTAGTAACAATACCAGCAAACACGCACGGAGCCCCTTCTACCTGCTGGGCACCACCCTACGCACCAGAGCCCTGTGAGGTGCGTACCCTTGCAGTATTTCATTGATTCCAAGATGTGCATTTCCTTGGATTGTAACATCTCTGCAATCAGAACGTGTTTTGCTTTCGTTGACAGGTCAGTTACTGCATTTCTTTGTAGTACAGGAAAGAAAGGGTGCCTATTCCAATCGACGGCATCTTAGATTTAATGGAATACAGGATCAGCCCCACTTTACAGATGAGGAAACTGAGGCTCAGAGAAGTTAAGCAGAGCTGGGATTTGAACCCAGGCAGGCTAGCTCCAGAGTTTATACCCTCATCTTTAGTTTCTTAACTTTCCCAGACTCCAGCATGTCACAGGCCCTCAGTAGATGGGAGCTGTAATATCGCTGCTAACATCACTTGTGGCAATGAAGATTAATGAGGTCCGCTGACCTCAGTAGCAGAGGCAGTCTGGAGGTCAAGAGAAGGTGTTTTAGTGGCTTAAGGATGTATTTAAGGCATTAGGTAGGTGTCCAGGGTGGCTTCTGGGGCAGTAGGCACACGTGCTTGAGTTCACACACACACACACACACACACACACACACACATGCCTCTCGGTATCTCTCTCTGCAACAAAGATCATGTTTTTTCAAAAAGAGGAACAAGGACTGAAGATTTCCCATCTTCTCTGCAGGCCACCACTTCTCCCACCCTGGCCCCAGGCAGCTCGTATAAGGCTGTTTTGGACCCCACATCCCAGGTGATACAGATGGCACTGTGCCCTGGGCCAAGATGGCAGGGCAACTGGAAGACTTCTGTTGTAAACCAGCCTAAAAGAGGCTTATCAGAAACAATCATACAAAACCATCTAGAAGGTTTCTCTCCAAGGACCTCCATCCGAAGTGGCTCATTCTGCCAAAACAGTGGCTGCGAAAGAAATCTGGATGTCCTTGGGAGCTGCTTCCTTCCTCTCCTCCAAACTCCTCACCATCAAGACCAGGGACGCGGGCAGGTGTGAACGGTGGGGAGTGGGGGCTGAGGGCAACCTCCTCCAAAGACCGACAAACCGGCTCCCAGCCCAGCTCTGCCCCCTCTGAGCCCCACACGGCCTCGGGGACTCCCTCTGCTTCATCTCTGTCTGCATCTGTAACTGTGTTGTGGTCAGCTCACTAACGGTCCCCCGAGATGTCCACACCCTAAGCCTCAGACACAGCGACTGTTTACACGGCAAAGAGGACTCTGGAGCTGTGATGAAATTAAGGCTCTTGAGGCGGGGAGGTTATTCCGGATTATCTGGCTGGGCCCCACATGTAATCATGACGACTCCCTTAGAAAAGGGAGGCAAGAGAGTCCCAGGAAGGAGGCTGCGTGACGGAGTGTGAGGTGAGGACTGGACCAGCCTCCGCTGGCCTTGAAGACAGAGGGAGGGGCCGCAAGCCAAGGAGCGCAGGCAGCTCCCAGAAGCTGGAAGAGGCAAGGGATGGATTCTCCCCTACAGGCCCCAGAGTAGAAGGCAGCTCTGCCTTTGCCTTGACTGTAACCCTGTGAGGCCATTTTGGACTTCTGACCTCCAGAGCAATAAGAGAAATTTTTGTTGTTCC